CAGTAGTGAGGAAAGCAGCTTTTCACAAGAGGCAAAAGCACAAATGGAAGCGCAGAAACAAAAGTACAAAGAAAAAACCTAAAACATCAGAATAAGCCCAATGACCAAAATTAGAGAATATAAAGGTGAAAATGTACATTACGATCATGACAAGAATGCCTTTACCCTTCCTCATTTAGAAAATGCCTCTTTATCCAGACTGGGCTTAAAAAGTCAATCCCTTTATGAAGGATTCACTAACTCTCAAAGGCAGTAACTTCTCTTCTGTGTTGCCATCCACCTTCCTCTGTATCTCTCAGAGATTATTATCACCACAAAACCCACATTATTCATCAACCACCATCTCTGTTCAAACCTAGTTACTAACACACAAGCAGCATAGAAAATACATTTGTTCAATCAATTAAGGTGGAATAAAATGGGATGGAAGGTCCACAGACTAGAAAACTCAACAGAGTAAAGACGTCAATTCTCCTTAAACTGATCTACAGGCTTAATGTAATTCCTATCACAATCACAACAAGGTACTTATTTTATAAACAAAGACAACCTTATTCTAAAATTTATATGGAAAGGCATAGGCCCTAAGAAAAACTAAAACAATCTTAGCAAAGAAGAAAATGGAAGTATCATTCTACCTCATGTTAAGGCTTACAATACAGATAATCAAAAACCAGGTGGTACCAGTGAAGAGAGACATGCATCAATATAATAAAACAGAGAATCCAGAAACAGACCCAGATACGTCCAACTAATTTTTGATAAAAGTGTGAAAGTAATCTAATGGAGGAAAGATAACATTTCAACGAGCAGAACTAGAGCAATGGGATACCCATAGGCCACCAAAAAAATAAGTAAAAATTAACTCAAAATGAATCATGAACTTAAAACATAAAACTATGAAAATTTTTAGAAGAAAACAGGTGAAAATCTTTGGGATCTAGTATTAAGCAAAGACTTTTGAATTGAAAACACAATCCATAAACGTAAAGATCCATAAACTCAACCTTATGAAAATTAAAAACTTTGCTCTGCAAAAGACCATGTGAAAAGGATGAAAGACAAGCTACAGACTAAGAGAAATATCTGCAAGCACACATCTGACAAAGGAGTAGTATCTGGAATATACAAAGAACTCTCAAAACTGAAGAGAATATAAAACAAATTAGAAAATGAACAAAGATGTGTACAGAGTTTCACTGTCAAGGACATACAGATGGCAAACAGACGCATCAAAAGATGTTCACCATCAGTCATCAGGCAAATACAAATTAAAAGCACAATGAGACACCACTACACATATTAGAATGCGTAAATTAATTTAAAAAACAAAAACAAAAAACCAAATTGTCTTTACGAAATGCTGGTGAGGATGCAGAGCAATTGCAACACAAATAAAAACCACAATGAGATAGCAGGACACACCTATTAAAACGCTTAAAAAACACTAAATGCTAACAAGAATGCAGAGAAATGGGTCACTCATAAATTGCTAGTGGGAATATAAAATAAAATAGCACAGCCACTGAGAAACCATTTCGCAATTTCTTTAAAAAACTAAACAGGCAACTACTGTATGTATGACTTAGCAACAGCTCTCTTATGTTCACACAAAATCTGTACACTTATGTTCAGAGCCAAAACCAGAAAATAATCCAGATGTTAAATTATTTTTAATGTTTATTTTTGAGAAAGAGAGAGAGAGGAAGAGACAGACAGAGCCTGAGCAGGGGAGGGGCAGAGAGAGAGGGAGACACAGAATCTGAAGTAGGTCCCAGCCTCCGAGCTTTCAGCACAGAGCCCGACGCCTGGTTTAAACTCAAGAGCGGCAAGCTCATGACTTTAGCTGAAATGAGACACCTAACTGAATGAGCCACCCAGGCGCCCCAATAATCCAGATGTTCTTAAACAGGTAAATGTTTAACAAACTGTAGAACACCCATATAATGGAATACAACTCAACAATAAAAGGGAAAAAACTACTGATATATACAATGTATATGAATCACTAGAATATTATCTTAATTTTAAAAGCTAATACTAAAAGGTTGTATACAGTATGTTCTTTTATGTAACATTCTTGAAATGAAAAAAGTATAGAAATGGAGACTAGGTTAGTAGTTAAAAGGACTAAAACGAGGCTGAGAGCCTTTTGTCTAAAAAAGGGCAGCATGAAGAATCTTTGTCGTGTGGAAACATTCTCTATCTTGAATGTATCAATGGCAATTTCCTGGTTGATACTGTACTATGGTTTACAAGATATTACCATTGAGATAAACTGGGCAAATGGTTCATAGTATCTCTGTAGTACTTCTTATAATGGCATGTAAATTTACAATTACCTCAAAAAAAATTTTAATTAAAAAAACAAAAATAAAAACAAAAACAAAAACAGGATGGAAGGTGAAGAAGTTAACCTTGGCAGGCAAAGCATCCTTTTTTGGGAAAAAAAGAGAATGGGTTGACAGAAGCACAATAGCCAAAAGATGTAGAATCTTTTCTTTAATCTCAAATTCAACAGTAATTGGTTTGCAAAGGATGGGAGTCAACAGAGAGAAGTTCAGGTGGCACACCTGGGAGCTTTAAAGGAGTCAGGAAAACTTGGAATGTTGGGTGCCTGCGTGGCTCAAGCGTCCGACTCTTGGTTTCAGCTCAGGTCATGATCTCATGGTTCATGAGTTTGAGCCTCGTGTCGGGCTCCGCACGGGCAATGCAGAGCCTGCTTAAGAATTCTCTGCATCTCTCTCTCTCTTTCTCCCTCTCTCTGCCCCTCCCCTGCTTGCTCTCTATCTCTCTCTCAAATAAACATTAAAGAAAAAGAAAACCTGGAATGTTAGTCTATGGGGAGCATGATTAAGAATCAACAATACAGCATTTCCTACTTCTCTTACTGCAGCTAAAGCACTAATTGACTATACTGCTAATTCATTACACAGAGGCTGTTGATTCTTTTATCTACGGAGTATTCACTAAAAGTGAAAATATTTCTAAAAAAATTGTATCATCACAACTTGCAAGTCCCTATGAAATTCAACATAATGGAATTTTACTTGTAGAATTATAATAATGTTATCCAAACAACAGTAAAAATTATTATCCCTATCCTAAAGAAAAGGATAGGGAAAAATAATGAAAAGGATAGGGATAAAACTGGGTCCAAATAAAATGAGTCCAAAGAGAAAATGTCTTATGGTCACACAAAAATTGGTAACAAAAATAGAATCAGAATTCCCGATTCTCAACCATGGGAGTGATTACCATAGCTTTTATTTTCTCCCTCACACAAAGGATCTCTTTCTTAATAATGAATAAGGGTACCCTTGTAAACTGGGGACTTCTGTAACTGGCTAATGTAACAAGCGATGTTTCTTTTTTTTTTTTTTTTTTTTTTTTCAACGTTTATTTTTATTTTTGGGACAGAGAGAGACAGAGCATGAACGGGGGAGGGGCAGAGAGAGAGGGAGACACAGAATCGGAAACAGGCTCCAGGCTCTGAGCCATCAGCCCAGAGCCCGACGCGGGACTCGAACTCACGGACCGTGAGATCGTGACCTGGCTGAGTCGGACGCTTAACCGACTGCGCCACCCAGGCGCCCCTCTTCTTTTTTTAAAAAACATTTTTAATCTTTATAATGCATCTCAGGAAAGTCAGTGGAACCTGAATGTTCCAGGATACTTAAGCAGAAAAGTTGCATGTTGTGAACTTTCCCAGAGCTGCACCAGCATTCATTGTGAGGTAACATTCTTAGACTAAAGATGCCTGATAAAACTCAACCAGGAAAACGTTTTCAGTTAATTAAAACTTAATTTTAATTCAATAAATATTTCCTAAGTGGTTAATGCCCAGAGACACCAGGATACAACAGTAATGAAAATGTGAAAGTGTTTCTCTCGCTCTTATCCAGTAAACAGACAGCTAAAGAAAGATCCAATAAATGCTAACAAGCCATAGCCCTAAAGAAGCAGAAGTCACCTATCCCAGTAGGAAGACAATCAAACAAGTTAGAGGAAGTGATTTATAAAGAGACCTTAAAGATAAGTAACACCCCGCTGAGAAGCAAAGAGAGAGACATATAACAGAATGACACAAATATTTATAGCCATTCACTTAAAAAAAAAAAAATAAAGTGATCTTAAGAGAGGAATTCTCAAGAGATGAAAACTTTAGTAATAAAAGCTGACAGCCAACAGACAAGTGATAACTGACTTTACAGACCAGAGAAAGAGAAAAACATAAGCTGGCTATGTGGAAGCACACAAGAGTCTGTTTGGTGCCAGTGAAAGCAAGAGAAACTCATGAAAAAGAGGCACTGGGTATCTCCAAAAGTGGTCATGTGGATAGGTTCTGAAACAAGAAGTTTATGGTTTAAATTTTGTTTAAGAGACAAATTAGAATTCCAGATGTCCTCTCCCACCCAAAAAGAAAAAACTATCCTGTCCCTTCCAGGGAGCAGACTCAATAACAAAAGAATACAGGAGGGGAGAAGTGGATATAGGGGATGAAAAAAAAAGAACAAGATTAAATGAAATTCTGTTTTCTAAATTGTGAGAACTGTGGCCTCTTTCTTCTCCAAGCTAGGTTTATATACCCTTCTCTAAGCAAAATTCTGGGAAATCTAACACACACACCACACCCTCCTCCCCCATCAGCTCAAAAGGATCTATGCAAATCCACCGATGAAATGGCCCTACCAGATGCCACTATACTGAAGCTCACAGTGTACATGTCCCACACATGTGTGATGAGCTTCCAATCAGGTGGTTAAGAAAGAAGACTATTTTTAACCTCATTTGGCTTTTTCAAACTTGATAAAAATTAAAATAAAAAACACAATGGCAGGTATAGGTGGGATGAAAAGGAAATGTCCAAGACAATAAGCAGAGGATTTTATCATTTTTATATACAGGATAACTAAAAACAGAATTTAAAGCAAATCACACTCAATCTTAATGAAAGTACATGCCAAAACAGGATACCTAAAAAGTAAAAAGTACTCAACCTGTATATCCATTAACATAAATGGCAACTCCACTAAAAATCGTAGATGAAGTTCCATCCTTTTGTAGAGCAGAATCTGACCGAAACTGTTCCTCCAATTTCTGGACCTTGGCAGCCATATACCCACCCTGGAATTAAAAAAAAAAAAAAAAGTAAACCAATTACAAAGGTTGTATTTTCTACCCCCCCCCCCATTTTAACAGAAATTTACATTAAAAAGAAAAGGACCTTATTCTATGCTAGTGACCAAGGTATAATGACATAGGATATAATTATAAATATTCACCATAAGGCAAGGCAATAAAACAGGTTTTTCTATCAACTCAATTCTTAATTATTTTATCACATTCTTATAACAGTTACTTTAAAAGTGGGAAAAGGTAAGACAAGAATAATGAATTTAATGCTACAAAATATTGTTCTTATCTACAAAATCAAGCAGAAGTTACACAAGAAGTTTAAACCAATTAAAAATTTGACAAGTCGTCAGTAAGAGTGTATTTTCAATTGGTTTCCACTATCTTCTGAATACAGGAAACTTAGAATTAGTAATTTAAAGCAAAATGAAACAGTTCAACAAACGAGTACAGCTCTCCATACATGTAGATAATACAATAAATGATTCAGTGGCCAAATTCTGATCTAATCAATCTACTTGACAGCAGTAATAATTTTCATTAGAGAACATCAACCTCGGAAAGAACATAAAAACATTATTTTTGCTAAAGACCTATACAAATCTATGAACTTAGCTACACTTTTCCTGAACATTAAACTTAATTATGTGATAATTAAGCTTAATTATGTGAATTATCGATTGTTTTTTGATTTTACTTTACTGATAAAGAACTGTCCATTAAATCTTGAAAATACAGTCATAGAAATCTTGAAAGTAGTACTTATTTCCTCCAAAATGGAAATTATTTTGCTGGTTTTGATTATTCAGATATTACATGCTCATTGTGGAAAAAAATTTTTTTTTCAGAAAATATAAAGAAAATGTAAATTAGGTATAATCCCATTCACTGTTAACATTCTGGGATCTATTTTTAAATTTATTACTATGTCTCAGAATATGCACATTTTACATAAATAGGATCACAGAGAATAATCCTTTATAAAACACGATTTTAGTCAAGGCCATCTCGAGTTAAGAAATAAAAAGCTAAATAATGGCTGAACAGTGTTCTACTGCATAGTGATAATTAACTTGACCAATCCTCTACTACAGTATATCTGGTATTTTCCTGTTTTTCAGTATTACTAGCAATGTTGCAATAAAATTATCACAAATAAATATTTGTACACCAGCACATTTATTTCCTCAGGATAAAATAAAGTTCGTGTGTTAAAAAGTTTAAACAAGCTTTCAATACATTGTGAAAACTCAGAAGAGGTGGTATCTAGAGTGATTTACAATTTTAAAAAATGCCTTAAACCACACTCCAACCTACAAGAACAAAAAATACCTAGACAATTAAATATAATTATTTTTATTCTTTTAAAACACACCCATTTTTCCCAGCCATCATTTTCAGCTCGCCTCCTCCCTCCACCTCGTCTCATGGTGGAGCGTCTGTATTAAGGGGGGAAAAAAAAAACTGTCAATTTTATAACGTAATACTAATTGACATTTTATTTCAAGTCAAGAAAAACGACAATTTAAAATAAACTCAAGTATTCAATTTGTGAAAGTTAAAACTTTTCCCAAAGCATAACATTCTCCTGCTTCACAAGTGAGATTTGTACCTAAAACACCCTTCTATAGAGAAATATCATGTTTCAATTATAACTATTATAAATTTTTTATAGCAAAAACATTTATGCATTCCTATGCACCAAACCTAATACACACTTGCGTAAAACATCACCACATTAGACTAACATGGCCATGCTTGTTAACATTAATTAGTATTAACAGAACCCAAGAAAACATTTTCCTTCATGAATTGTCCTCTAATATGGCTCTTAAACTGGCTTTACTATTACATACTAGACACTTAAGAGTACAGTTATAGTGTAATTCATCTATTATGCAAAAACTCCTAAAAGAAGTCAATTAAAACAGCACATCTTAAGGGAGATAATGTAGAAGGATTATCACTTATCACAAACTATTAAACTGGCATTCTCCTTAAGGCTACACTTGACCCACTATGCTGTTAAACCACCCAAATGACCAAATAATGGCTTATCCCAAGTGTTAGGTGCCTTAGTAGCTAGCAAGGTTATCAAATGGTTCAGAAGTCAAAGCAGGCACTAAATGAAACTCCTTATAAAACTTGTCTAGCTATACGGCTACATCTTGAGACCCGACTGCATTATTCTTCACAAAACTAACTCGCCCTCTATTTAGGTTATTTTTCTTCTACTACATAAGTTAATATCAATTAATATGTTACAGAAGAAGCTGTGTACATTATCCAAGTCAAATTAGCTGTGATATGGTTTATAAGAATTTGTTACTGGTGAAACCTTAAAATATGACACTTTAGACACACACATAAGCATTTTATTTCAAATATTTCTATACTTGATATATTGTGCAATGTATAGTTTTTCCTTGCTGACATTTATATTATGAATGTTTACTGTCAGCTTTTAAAAGGGGCCTAAAAGAGATGTAGAGACCTTCTCTTAAAAAGGTAAGTCCGGGGGCGCCTGGGTGGTTCAGTCGGTTGAGTGTCCAACTTCGGCTCAGGTCATGATCTCACAATTTGTGGGATCAAGCCCCGCATCAGGCTCTGCGCTGACCGCTTGCTAAGAGCCTGGAGCCTGCTTCAGATTCTGTGTCTCCTTCTCTCTCTGCCCCTCCCCCGCTCACGCTTTGTCTCACTCTGTTTCTCAAAAATAAATAAATGTAAATAAATAAATAATAAATAAATAAATAAATAAGTAAGTAAGTCCTATAGAGAGACAAGGGGCATGAGCAAAGAGCTCTGTGAACAAGAGGCAACGTAATTAATCCAGATTAGGGGATGTGGATGCTGGCAGAGAAGAGTTGGTGTTGTTTTCAGTTTGACAAAGGTAGGGGCATGGCTACCCAATGTGTTCATTATGAGTCCTAGAACTGCCATATTGCTCTGCTAAATACTTCTATTTTCAAGAGGTACACTTTGTCCAGTCCCTCAAGACTTCTCCCCTTATCTTAAAGGAGTAGGGAAAATGTGCTAACACAAACTTCGTGACTTCGTATTAACTTTGAATCTATACATCTGCTCTTAATAAGTAAAGAGTCTGGGAGTTCTGGCCCTTGTATGTTAGGAATGCTCACAAAAATTAAAGGGAACAATTAATCAGCTAAATGAAAAGTAAGTTAAAGAATATATTATTCATTTAAGATCTACTGGGTAACTACTGCAAAAGGCCAATAGGAGAAATCCTAATCAGTGGTTTCATGAGGGTAGGAAAATATGAAATAAAGTTGTAAGTTAAAAAAAATTTTTTTCAAGCTTCTTCTTCTATTTCAAAGTAATAAAGCTATCCCAGACAAATGTTTAAGCTTTGAAAAAGTAAAAGACTGAAATTAGTAATTTCTTCATTTCAACTAATTTGAGTACAGCAAACTCCTATTGATTGATTCAGGATTCAAATAGACTGAAAAAAGGGAAAAAGAAACAAGAAACATTTCATTTTATACATTCAAATTCTATTTTTGAGAAAAACCCATAACAAGTAGTTAACTAGGTTATTGGGATCAATCTTCCTGGTGAGAAAGAAGAAAACTAAACAAAACATTATTTTTTAAAAAACAAAATAATGAAAAATTACTGGGCCCAGATTTAGAAGATGACAAAGAAACCCTGCCAGCTCACCTGTCCTCCCCAGGTTGAGACAGCTTTTTCCTCTGAAAGCATGTGGCAATTATAACAGTCTGGGCAATGTTTCTGAACAAACACAGCACTAAGGGAACAACAGTTGGAATTCAAGGGTCCTCCAAGCATATACATCTCCACACTTGGGATTAGAATCCTAGGGGTAAGTAAACTGGAAGTAGACAAACCAAATTTTGCCAAAAATGTAGCCTGCCTTGGATTATTTCAACCTCTGAAAGTAAATTAGATGATCCTAAAGAACACAAATACATGGAGGTCAAATAACATGCTACTAAATAATGAAATGAGTCAACCAAGAAATCAAGGAGGAAAAATCAAAAAATACATAGACACATGAAAATGAAAACACAATGGTCCAAAATCTTCGGGATGCACCAAAAGCAGTTCTAAGAGGGAAGTTTATAACAATACAGGTCTACCTCGAGAAGCAAAAAAACTCAAATAAACAACCTAACCTTACACCTAAAAGAGGTAGAAAAAGAAGAAAAAACCCAAAACCAGTAGAAAGAAGAAAAAATAACAATTAGAGCAGAAATAAAATAGAAACCAAAAAAACAACAGAACAGATCAATGAAACCAAGAGCTGATTCTTTGGAATCAAGTGTTTACCCAGACTCATTAAAAAAAAAGAGGGTGCCTGGGTGACTCAGCTGGTTAAGCATTCAACTTCAGCTCAGGTCATGATCTCACAGTTTGTGAATTCAAGCCTCATGTCAGGCTCTGTGCAGACAATTCCAGGCCTGCTTCAGATCTCTTTCTCTGTCTCTCTCTCTCTCTCTCTCTCTCTCTGACCCTCCCCTGATCACTCTCAAAATTAAATAAACAAACATTAAAAAGAGAGGGGGGGTACTCAAATCAACAAAATTAGAAATAAAAGAGGAGAGGGGTGCATGGGTGGCTCAGTCAGTTAAGCATCTGACTTCAGCTCAGGTCACATCTCGCAGTTCGTGAGTTTGAGCCCTGTGTCAGGCTTTGTGCTGACAGCTCAGAGCCTGGAGCCTGCTTCAGATTCTGTGTCTCCTACTCTCTCTGCCCCTCCCCTACTCACACTCTCTCTCAAAAATAAATAAACATTAAAAAAATTTTTAAAGAAAGAGGAGAAATAACACTACAGAAATATAAAGGATAGTTAGAGAAGATTATGAAAAATTAATTATAAGCCAACAAATGGGACAACCTAGAAGAAATAGATAAATTCCTAGAAACAGTAACTTCTCAAAACTGAATCAGGAAGAAATAGGAAATGTGAACAGACCTATTGCCAGCAATGGAATTGAATCCGTATTCAAAAAACTCCCAACAAACTGAAGTCCAGGATCAGATGGCTTCACAGGTGAATTCTAGAAAACATTTAAGGACGAGTTGATACCTATTCCAAAAGCCAGAAGAGGAAGAAAAGCCTCCAAATTCATTCTGTGAGGCAGGCATTACCCTGGTAACCAAAACCAGATAAAGATACTACAAAAAAAGGGAACTACAGGTCAGTATCTCTGATAAGCAAAGATGCAAAACTTCTCAACAAAATATTAGCAAGCTGAATCTGACAATATGTTCAAAAAAATCATTAACTATGATTCATAATGGGATTTATCCCAAGTATGCAAGGGTGGTTCAATATTCACAAATCAATCAATGTAGCACATCATATTAACAAAAAAAGGGAAAAAAATCATATGATCATTTCAACAGATGCAGAAAAAGCATCTGACACAGTTACAACACCCACTCATGATAAAAATCCTCAACAAAGTAGGCTTAGAGAGAACATACCTCAACACAAAGGCCATATATGAAAAACCCACAGTTAACCTCATACTCAATGGTGAAAACCTGAGAGCTTTTCCCCTAAGATCAAGAACAAGACAAGGATGCCACTCCCACCACTTTTATTGAATACAGTACTGGAAGTCCTAACCACAGCAGTTAGGTAACAGAAAAAAATAAGAGGCATCCAAATTGGTAAAGAACAAGTAAAACTTCCATTATTTGCAAATGACATGATATTATATATGGAAAACCCTAAAGACTCCACCAAAATACTACTAGAACTGATAAATGAATACATTAGGATTGCAGGATACAAAATCAATATACAGAAATACATTGCATTTCTATATACTAATCATGGAGCAAAGAGAGAAATTAGTAAAATAATCCCACTTACAATAACACCAAAAAATAAAAAAAATAAAATAAAATAAAATACCTAGGAATAAACTTAACCAAGGAGGTGAAAAACCTATACTCTGAAAACTATAAAACATGAATGAAAGAAACTGAAGATGACACAAAAAAATGGAAAGATATTCCATGCTCATGGAAGGGAGAACCAATATTGTTAAATTTCCATACCACCCAAAGCAATCTACAGATTTAATATAATCCCTAGTAAAATACCAACAGCATATTTCACAGAACGACAACAAATAATCCTAAAATTTGTATGGAACCACAAGACTCTGAATAGACATAGCCATCTTGAAAAAGAAAAACTGTAGATATCACAATTCCAGATTTCAAGATACACTACACAAAGCTGTAGTAATCAAAACACTATGGTAGTGGGATGAAAACAGATACAAAGATGAAGGAACAGAAGAGAGAGCCCAGAAATAAACCCACGATTACATGGTCAATTAATCTTGGACAAAGGAAGCAAGAATGTGCAATGGGAAAAAACAATCTTTTCAACAAATAGTGTTGAGAAAAATAGCAACATGCAGAAGAATT